GGGGTAAGGAGGGGAGGCTAGACCGCCCAAATTCACAGCCTCTTTTTTTCCGGTCTTCCCGGTCTACCAAGGACCCGGCCCGCCTCGACCGGGTAGTCTGGGTCCTCCGGAGAACCCGGCCTGTCGTTTTGGACACAGCCATAGTCTAATTTGTAATAAATCAGTGAAATCATCCTCTCTCTTTTTATAGCCATCCTTTGGTTACGTCATTACCTCTCCAGAGAAGAGGGAACCGTTCCCCCTCATTAACCTCTCAGCAATCTCACCTGAGCTAAGTTCTCCCAACAATGCCACAGTGGACCTCGGTGAAGCAGACAAAACTCTCAGCCCAGGTGTGTTTGCAGAACTGCTCGTGATAATAAACACTTTTGAAATGTCTCACTTTATGCTTTTCTGACAAACTGCTCATGATCATCTCCCTGCAGAGGACCTGGACAAAACTCTTGATGCTCCAAGTCAAAGGATGCCACCAAAAGGGGATACTGCTCCAGAACCTTCTGAATCCCAGGTACGTGGGTTTTTCACAGCATTATGTCATTATTTAGGCACTAAATATATTTATGACGTGACTTCACTTGTTTTTAGGACCATACTCTCAGCGCTGCTTTGTCTAAACGTTGTCAATCCTCAACATCTGAGTCAAGTCTGGGAAACCAAAGTGGTGTGTCCCCTGACAGTAACAGCAGTCAGCTGATGCTTAGTATCAGCACGATTGCTTCGGCCATTGTGAATGCATCCATCAGCACCGACCCGTCGCAGCTGGCCGCCATGATCGTGGATCTGTCCAASAAGAGTAGAGCGAGGAGGAGGCCAGAGCTCGCCGGCAGCAACRCAGAGGAAGCTGTTGCAGCTAAACCAGTAAGGCTGAGTGAACTTAGGATAAATAAGTTATTTGTCTGAAGTTAAATACTGATCTACTGTAAGCAACACGTTATGGTCTAAATTTTAGAAGCAGTTTGATGCATTGATACTGACAGTTTGAGCTTAAAATGAAGTAAAACTGATTTAAATTGGAAAGAATCTGATTTTAAAGGGTACATATCATGCAAARTCCACGTTTTTAGCTGTTGGATACATTTTGTGTGTACTTGGAGTCAYGAGGAGGCAGAAAAGTTGAATTTAGTCTCTCCTGGTGCTTTGTAGATATCTTTATATTGTTTTTGGGTCATATTTTTAACCCCCTTTCTCAAACCGGATTGGACTGGCCTGGAAGCCGGAGGRRGGCGGGGCTTGAAGCSTCTTAAAGGAACAGTAACAAAACSAGCTACCTTGAGRCACAGCTCAKAAAAGAGGTGAAAAAGGGGCTGGTAAAKTTAGAACAAGAAKGAATTCAGACCAAAGCATTGCAGTTCCACTTTATAAAGACTCCAACTGATGAATTAAATGTGAAAAAGAAGGATTTAAAAGCATCATAYGTCTACTTTAAATGTCATTGCMATTTTATTATCAGATCACAAAATCTTAGCAACTAATTTTAAAGAGAACTAAAAAGAAGTTTCATTAAGACAAAATCTGTTTGTTTTGTTTGCTTTTTTCTAATTTGTAATAAATTAGTAAAATCAAAAGAATCATGCTTTGTTCACAACAATCATGAGTGGGGCTGTGCGGTATATGTGGTAGATGGTAGAAATGGTATGAAGTTGACCTGCGGTAGAAATGTATACTCTACCGTCTTATCATCATTACATCATCACAGCTGTGTCAACAGGGCTGCGAGTGCAGAGACAACTGAGCAGGAGGAGTTCGAAATAAAATGAAGAAATTATAGCRTTTTAAAACACGTATAGAGAGAATAAATCCTCAAAATTTCCTCCTCCCGCTGTAGAAAAGTTACGTCGTGTCGCGGGATCATTTCCTCCCCTCCCTCCCCTCTCCTCTCCTCTCGCTGCACGTTGCACAACTGTAGTTTTTCACACCCAATTTTAGGAGAAAAAAATGTTTTTTATGTATTGTTACCCACAGATATTATTTTTAAAAAATACATGGACGTTTGTTCAGTCATAAATCCATCTTGTTAATGTAAAGTCGGCTTCTGCTCTGATGATGAAGATGAGAGCGCAGCAAAGCAGCAGCTGATAAGTTCAGCAGGCAGAAGCTCATTGTATAGCAGGCAGATATTAAAGCACAAATGTTGGGTTTAATTAAGATTACAGTTTTCTGAAAAAAAATGCTCTAAAAATTATATTATCTTAACTTTTTATAATAATTTTCTACCGCGATATATACCGTTACCGTGAAGGAGTTCAAGTTATACCGTGATATGAATTTGAGGTCATACCGCCYAGCCCTAAGTTGTTTGCCTACTTTCAAACACTGACAAGTTCATGTCAGACGGTCCTGGAGAGGGACCRGTTGAGTYAGTAWWATAATTCCCACATGTAAACAGAGTCAGAGGGATAACAGTTGTATTGAAGGTGCCASGTYGAAAGGRGAAAAGTAAAGTTCTCTCTTCTRAAAAGAAGCAGTGATTTAAAGCTGTGAGGACGAGTCGTTTTGGGGGAAGACATTAAGCATTATTTGCAAATGAGCTGTGGCAAGTTATTGTACCTGATCCCAGGATAGATTGTAAACCAGAACAAGGAATATTTGCTGTTTTCTAATTAAAATTTGATATAAACCCTGATGAGTTTGAGTTCCGCTAATCTCCAATCAATCAAAAAAATAAATAAATAAATAGAAAGCTATAGAAAAAATAGAAAATTAAAAATAGAAATTGTTAAAAGTGTAAAAATCTAAATTGAATACACAGGAAAAATCTCATATTTTGACAAGTATTATGGTTTTAAGTGGACTGCCTGGTAACAAGCTAATCATTTATGGTGTTTTTGTAAAATTTCTGTTGAAAACAATTAAGGACCAGATGAACTGTGTTGCATCCTTCGCAGGTCCTGCCTCATTTGGACAAGAGCGCACTCACAGACACCATTCAGAGAAATCTCTGTGCTGGAGAGATTACTGCCTTTGACATTGAGAAGTACCTGAAGAGCAGCAACCTGTCTGGTACCAGCGATTCCTCTGAAGGACAGGCAACTTTCGACTTGAGCGGCTGGGCTGAGAGTCTGAGCAGCTCACAGAAGAGCCGACAGGCAGAACATCCAGCAAAACAAGAGAACAAAGACTTGTCTTCAAGTACAAACTCTGAGGGAAAAGACCAAAGCGGGGGCMTGTCACTTGCAAATCTCAGCTCCTCAGCAGTGCCTCTTTCTGATGATCAGTTGGCAGCAAAAAGCAGCTCTGTTCCTCGCCCTCGAGCTTCTCTCAGCTCTTCTAGAAAGCCTGTGGATTTGGGTCAGTCCTCCTCTCTCAGATCTCCTGCAGACAAGCTGAACTCTTGTGACAGTGCTGCTGCTTYAACCAGGACTCAGAGCTTTTCAGGTAGAACCCAGTTACAGAATGATACCAAGCCAGGAGACAAGGACCTCAAAGCAGCAAACATGAGTTCTGAACAGGATTATAAAAGCTTACCCAGAACCTCCCCACGTGGCRGTAAACAGCAGCCTGGCCTTCCTGCACTCAAAGCCTCATCCCCTTCAAGCCAGAGGCTGAGGAGTGTAGGTCAGGAGCTCCAGGACAAATCTGGTGACTTTCCACAGAAGAAACCATCTGGGAATCTAAAATCTCCTAAATCTGTAGAGAAACACGCCGGCGTCTCCTGCCAGAACTCTCAGCCTCTAMAAAACTCCACATCTGGTAAGTTACAGCCAGCAGCACAACATCTGCTGTCAACATTATTGAAGTTGGTGAGGTGTCATTTTTACTCTTTGTTTTTCAACATTTACATTTTGTTTCTTAGGATTGAATAGTTTTCCAGAGCCATGTGTAGAGGAGACGAATTGTAGCTTCAGACCCTCGACCTCTCCTCTTACTCACTCCTCGCCAAGTCAGACTTCCATTCCCAGTGCTGACAGGTATCGCATCACTTGCTCCTGCAGGTTTAGGACAGATCGTTGGTGTCATTTGCAGTTTTAACTGCCTTTTTTTTTTTCTTCTCTTTGCAGTATGCGCTCACCTTATCCGTCCAACAGAGGWGTTGCCGACAGACCTCCAGGTCCTGAGATTTCTCCTGAGTCTGTGTGTTCCAGCCCCAGTCTTAGCAGGCTCACTTACATTTCAATGAATGATGGCACAGTTGTGCCCACACCTGAACGGCAAAAGGTACCGCTGAACAAACTGTGAGCTTCAGTGTGGAGACTTTTTGTGCTTTTTCAACTATTTGTATATTAAAACGTTCAGCCCGTTAATGTCATGGATGCCATAACTTTTGGTATTTCAGTAACTTATACTTTTTCAGGTATTTAGGTTTTTTTGGCCACTTTTTTTCTTTGAAAAAGAATGGAGCTGTGTTCACCATTCTTAAAACCCTTCAAACTGTTTATAAATCTTTACAGCACTTTTCACTTTTAAGTCTGGTTCTGCTGTCAGTCGTTCAAATTAAACTCACATCAACAGATTTGCTGTTGAACGTTTTCAGCTCCACTTCAGCGGCTTCCAGCAATAAGCAGTCACTCTACATTTTTGCAGGAAATACTAAATCTCTAGTTATTATTTCATTTTGCAGTTTTGAACAAATGTTGCAAACCTTTTACAATTGAAAATGATGCATTTAAAATGTTATTAAATGACTGTTAAGCTATTAAATTTGTCTTGTTGCTGAAAAGATAAGTACTGATTGTTCCTGGTTCTGTGTTCTACAGAATGACTCCACTATGGCCCTGAGCACCACCATCGTCAGGTTCAGTCCAACTCCTCCTGTAGAAGCAGAAGCACAGCCGAACCTGGACGACAACGGTGCATCCAAAAGCCTCGATAATGTGCAGCCTCAKCATTCTAAAAGTCTGGACCCCCTACCAGCACAGCCGTGTAAAAGTCCAGAACCGTCACGCAGCGGGTCTGCTCTGAGCTGCACCCGCAGCCACAGTGACTGTAACTACAAGTGTCCTGGTGACGTTTCTGCAGGATGCAGGAATCACCAGCATGTCTCTGAGTCCGGCGTGAGGAAGCTCATTAAAGTGGATTCTGGTTACAGTAGTAATCTGAACGTCCAGCAGACGAGCAGCTCTGCAGCTCCTCAGGTCTCTCAGGCCTGGGGCCTCGGACTGCCTCCTCCCTACTCAGTTGAGGGACTTCATTATGTCCCCATCCCCAGCTTTAAGTCTCAGTGTCCTGGCCTGATGGAACCGTCCCACAAAGGAGATCTTCAGTCCCTCCTTACCAGACGCTCCCTTGTCAACTCCCAGTTACCTCTTCAGTATTTAGGGCCTGAAGCTCCGCTGCACCCAGGTGCTTTTCATGTGGGCCCTGCAGGAAACAGTCTGTACACCGTGGCCTCTACAGGCATGTTTTATTTTTTAATCTAATTTCTTTAAAAACATTTGTCAAAATGATGAAATGAAACTATTTTTAAATCAGCTGATAGTGATACTGAGAGCGTAAAACTCCAGCTGGAATCGGCAATACTGATACTTTGTGCAAATGCACCTAATGTGTCTGGTAAATATAAAAAAGTAGTGTATTTAAATCACCGCTTCATCAAGAATACAAGACAGTAGAGTTACGAATTTATTTATTCATTTATTATTATTATTATTATTATTTTTTAAACTCAGAGGTATATTGATGTGTCCTCATTTACAACACAGCTGAGCTATTACAACAGAAAAAAAACAAACAGGGCACAATCATACAAAGTATGTAAAAGTGGTGTTTAAACAATAAAAAGGTAAAATAATAAAACCATTAAATTTTTTATTTAATTAAGAACCACTATAAAAATAAAAACTTGAGCCTTAATTTACTTTACATGAACATGTTAACATGAAAATACTAAACAAGTAACGTCTACAGACTCCCGCTGCACTTATGCCTGACCCAGGCGGAAGAAAAARTAGTTCCACCAACAGCATAGTTATTTTCCGCTGTGTTCCTGTTAATGATATGTTATCTGAAATGACTGAAGTATCAAAGTATCCATTTTTTTTATTTTAGTATTGATTCTAGAGCATGCTGGGATCGACATTCAGTATTGATCCACACATCACTACGAGCTGCATTTATTTCAGGCCTGTGCTCTGTGTTGTATTTAGATGTTTTTTTTAAATATATTGATACACTTTTGTGTTATTTACTAAGACAGGCAAACAAGCACAAACACTTTACTCTCTCCATTTTATATTTACTTTATTAATTTATTTTAGGCATCCCAAACTGTCGTCTTAATGTGGGACACATTCATCCCCCATCAGGGCCGTTGGGGATTCCTGGAGCTGGTGGGCCTCCTCACCTCCGCATGCCTCATCAGAGTCAGCATGAGATGGGAATGATGGGGAAAACTTACAGTCATTACGGTGCAGAACCTCTGGTGTCTAGCAGTCTTGATGAACTGAGAGGTAGCAGTGGTTTCTGCTTTTCCTGTAATCAAGTTTTATACTTTTAACCACTATTTCAGTTTTGTGTGTTTTTTTAATAGTCGGAAGCAAAACGTAAAATTATATATATCTTTTTACTAACTGTCTCTTCATCCTCAGACCAGGTAGTGGTGCCCGAGGAGCTCTGGTTTCCTCATGCCTGTTGTGTTGGCATTGCCTCACAGACCTCGCTCAGCCTCTTCAACCCGTCTGAGAGGTGGCAGCAGGTCTCCATCACTGTCACCAGCCTGGCCATCGATGGAGAGAAGGTTAGCTGGAGCTCGTGTGACAAAGTGCAACACAATAATTAGGGTTGGGTGGTTGGACAATGTATCCACCATATGATCAGAAATGCAGTTTTTTTTAGTTTTTAAGCGATATTTTGCTTTTAATTTGAGCTCATTTAATTTACCTTTTTAATACTTTTAATCTGTAAATGACTGTAAAAATCAAATTTGAACCTGAACATGCTGGGAGACACCCTGATCTTGTGCAAAACTTTCTTTAAGGTGTCGGTGCAAACACTCAGCAGGTGACATCCTGCAGCCAAGACATAATAGGACCTAAAGAACATTACTTTGCTGTGAGCAGATAAAATTCACTGCAGTGAGTTTCCTTACAGGTTAGCTGTCTATTCAACACCATGGCTTTTGGTTTATAACGTGAGTTATTAAACATAATCTGGCCRACAAATAAACCACTACACTTGTTAGATTTATTTTATGGTTATCTGTGAAAAGCACGGTCACTTCTCTCCTGCACCCTGCTGAGCTCGCACACGTTATATGTATCTTTTAAATATTTATTTTTAATTCAACTTGCTGCATTAAGGCTCATGTAGCCACAACTACTTAAAATCTCTAATTGAACTGTCTGAGACCCTGTGCCGTCACTGCTCCACAGCTCAACAAGAAAATAGTTTGTTTTAAGACGTTTTTCCTGCATCTTCCAACTTTCTTAAGTACTGCGCGCTGTGACGATACAGACATTATGTTTGAAGTTAACCACACTTTCATTAGAAGGTTTTAACATGCTGATAACTCGTTAGTATCAGGTCTGAGCTGACTGCACTGATCTGGTATAATTCTTGTATAAAGGATTGTTTAGGTCTTATTTTTAAAAACAATCTCAATTCAGTCACTCATGTTTTCCTTTTGGACACATGGCCAAMTTCCTCAGTCATAAAACAAAACAACTGAGCAAATATTCAGCCCATTGTTGGTCATCAGATCACCCAACCCGAACAGTAAAACCAGAGTTTTGTCCAGATATCTGTAAAATACATAGGAGGGGAAGAACTTCTGGTTACTCATTAGTCTGGTTTAACTGACAACACTCAAAATGACTGAGTGATTTTTGTTTTTTCTTCCAAATCCCTGCAGGTGGACAGCTTGCCTTACCAGTGGCTGATGGTGAAAAACAAAACCATTATTGGCCCCAAGAGTACAGAGGAGCAGAAAGTGCTGTTCATCCCTCAGCATCCTGGCGTCTATCARTGTATTCTGAATGTTTGCTCCTGGCCAGCGTCTGCTGAGCCCGAGCTGGCTGCCAGAGCAAAACTCTTTGCCAAAAGAGTGGTGCTTGTTGCTGTTGCAGAGAATCCTGCCTTAGAGGTGAGAGCCTACAGCTTGGAGATGATGGTGGTTCAATAAGACTTTATTTTATTATTTTATTTATAAAGTTTATTTATTTATTTATTAAAAAAAAACAATATAAATTCTATATACATTTCACTTTAAGAGAAACGGGCTGCTGCTTTTGTCAAAATGTTCATAATTTTTATTTATTTATTTATTTATTTATTTTTTTCAGATTGAAGTGAGCAAATCTGGCTCTTTGGATTTTGGAGATCTACCAGCAGGCAGTGCTAAATCACTTCCTCTGAAACTGCTGAACAGAACCCACGCCACAGTACCCATCCGCCTGGTCATCAGTGCAGTGAGTTAAAACGAGTCATAAGATGCATACTGCTCTGTAACCGTGACCTCCAGTGGCATCTGGGTGCTGTCTCAATGATAAAACTATGAAAATAATTAAAGGTCTCATTTTAAAATGGCTTGTGAATATACAGTAAATATACTAGTTAAAAGAAGATTGTGTAACTTAATCCCAGTGATCTTTAAAGCAGTGAAGAAGCAAATGTCAAACAGTGTTTATAGTTGTTTTGGAAGTATGCTCAAACAAAGAACTCGGACTAGTCTGGATTTCAGTTTTCCCTCATTTCGTGCCTTTTGTTTCTTCAGAATGCCACAGCATGGCGATGCTTCTCCTTTTCCAAACAGCCGGTTCTTCTCACGTCTGAGGCCGCCCAGCAGGCTGCACAGGTCGCCCCGGTGTCCTCGCCCTCAGTGATAAATCATGTGATGCACGCCAGCTATGGAGAGGTACGAAGACCCCAAAGTCATTACAGTCAGCATCCATTATTTAAACGATTCAATTATGTCTTTTTGAAATGTAGAAAAGTTGAAAGGGTGTGCTGAACAAGGACGTTATCTGTTGAATATTAAGTGTCATTTGCTTTTCAGCATGTCAATAAATGAATAATTCTTTCAGAATCCAGAGAGCTTCATGGTTTGGATTCATTTCAAGGCTCCTCAGAAGTACATGGCTTCTTCAGGTAATCAGCCTTGACTGAATGCTTTACGGAAAAATGTATTAAAGTCACCAAACCTGCATTATTTAAAGGAATATCTGACTTTACCATCTGCAAATGAAACAAAACCATAAAATTATTCTTTTTCTTTCTCCCTACTTCTCAGGAGAGCTTGGTCCGGCTGATGAGTACGGTGCTCGGGTCGACATCGAACTGGACTCCCCTGGTCCCAGTCGTGTTATCAGAAGTATTCCCCTCAAGGCCCGATCTGGAACTGCAAGGGTCCATGCTCCTAAAGACCTTCAGGTACCATAACTTTTGTCTTGTTCTCAGACAGGATAAAGCTTAACTTAATTTACATTCGTTTTATCCGACTTATAAAACCTTTTATTGCACCTTTCAGAAACTAACAAGGTTTTAAACCAACACAACATAAAGACTCTCAGGCTTTGACCTGCAGCATTGTAATGAAAATGTATTCAACTAGCAAACTATAACAAAAACAACAGTTATTAAAGTAAACTCCTTTTAACTTCTTTTATGTCTAGACCGTTCACTTTTGTGTCCCTGTGGGTAAAAGCAGTGAACAGACGGTGCCATTAAAGAATGCAGGAAACATTGATGTTCAGCTGAAACTCAAGGTAATTCGTGTCTTAACTTTTTGTTTTTATCAGGTTAAGGTTTTATGCAACAACTCTGACATTTGGGGCTCAAGACTTCCAGCAGTGATATTTTCAATCTTTATTGTTTTAGCATTTTTTTTATATGGCCCTTTTTGTCTGTCGTGTATTTTTGTTTGCTTAAACCAACTTTTACCATATTAAATGTATCTTAGCTTTTGGCTTTCGTTCATTTTGTTTACAGATCAGTGAAAACAATGATTGTTTTGCTGTGACACCAAATGAACTGACCCTGAGTGTTGGAGAAGAACGGGGCATTGTTGTATCTTTCAAAGCACAAAACAACAAAAAATATAAAGAAAGGTACAAGTAATACTCAGATTTTCAATTCCAGTCTATATTTTATATAAGAAGGTTTTGTGATAACACTGAGAGGATGTAATGGAATGAATAAAACACCTTCTTTATTTAAAAGGTAAAATCTATTCCAATGAATACTGAAAGTCCTTCAGGTGTAACCTGTCTATTAGAATAAACTTTGTCATCATGTCCCAGCCTTCTCACAGTCCTGGTGCTCCCGTTGGGCCCTCAGTATGAAATGATGCTGAAAGGAGAAGTTCTACCTTCGGACTCTGGCCGTGTTCCTGTCTGTGCTCCTGCTCTGACCAGTGACGTCCCACCAATCCTTTCTAACAAGCAGTTTGTGGCCTGGGGAGGGGTGACCCTGGGACGAGCTGTGTAGGCAACACTTCAGTTTTTTATTCATTTCGCTGCTGCTTTGTAACAAAAAAAACTTTTCTCTGGGTTTTAGTTAATCATTGGAAAAATAATGGATGAAACAAACTCAAGACCCTGTGTTCCACCAACTAAGGCTTTTTAATGTTATAAAAGAGGAGAGAAGTGTCTATGGGGGGATTACCCCTCTGAAGCTACTAAACACAATAGTTTGTTTGGACTCTAGTGAAGAGTGGGTCAAAAAATAGACTAAATCAGAAAATGTTTCTTTGTAACCACATTCAGCTTGATTCTAGATAAATACTGACTTCACTGTTTGGACTCTTAATTTAAAAATGTCAGTGATTTAGGTTTCAAACATAAACAGACTCCTGCACTAACAGCAGCTTTGATTTTTAGCCAACAGAAGCTGGTTTTAAGGAACAACTCGAATGGCACCACGCAGCACCTACGCTTACTCATTCGTGGTCAAGACCAGGACTGTTTCCAGGTAAATTCTCACTAGTTCACTTTTTTACACAGAAATGTAAAGATTCAAATTATTTGATCAATGTTTTTCTTTGTGTTTTTGTTTATTTTGAGCTGACTCAGCAGAACCAGTGGCAATTTTAGCCCTTTTTTTAGGAGTACTCAATCACCTCCAAACTTGAACTCGGCCCCACTAAAATAAAAAAAAAAACCTATCATTTCTGTTTTATGAGGAAGTTGTGTTCTCAAACCTTCACTCCACAGCTGCTTGATAACATGAATAAATGTCTCGCAGATGTTGGCAGGTCTGATGTGGACCTCTGAGATTCAATATACAGCCGATGGCTGTTATTTAACTTTTGTATATGAATGTATGTAAACAAGCAGTGAGATTTAGAAAATAGCACCAACAAAAATCTTCCCTAAGGCCTGAGCCCGAGACGAAGGAAGTCCCCCATAGGTCAGATCCTAGAATTGCTCCTGTGCAGAATGCAAACTCTTTGTCTTTATCTAAAATTGTTTTTAGCTTTTCCTGTGCAGTTAAAGTTCAGATTGTATCTTCAGGATGTCTTCAGGTGTTCTGTACTAATTATGACACGTTCTTCAGCTTCAGAGTATGTTCAGCCCTGAGGAGTGTCTCACCCGGCACGGAGAGCTGTCCATCCGTCCCAAGGAAGATGTGACCATCCACCTGCTGTTTGCCCCCACCAGGGTGGCGTGCATGCTGGCCAAGCTGGAGATCAAACAGTCCGGGGTCCGGCCTTCGCAGCCAGGGGTCAAATTTATTGTGAGGATGTAACTCATCACTTTATAAAGCTGTCTGGCTTCTTCTCTTAAAGTCATCAACCATTTTTTTATTATGTTATTCCTTTTTTTTTTTGTTATGTATGTTTATTTATTTACAGGGTTCCTGCAGATCCTTAAAAAGTCTTAAAAGTCATTGAATTCATCAATCCAAAACTAAGGCCTTAATTAATCTTAAAATGTCTTAAATCAATCTTTCAGTAGTCTTAAAAATGTCAGCGCATTGCATCTAGGATGATTATAATTCATCTCAAATATTAAAATAATTGGTAACATTTATTTTTTTAAGTATTCACATGCAGACATTCCCCTTTGACATCACTTCTTGTAATTTCACATGGAAACATCTCAACAACTGTCCATCTGAGCAACGTGAAATTTGTTTTGTATTATGTTAATAATGCTGTCTTTCCGAAAATGCATTCACTTTTCTTACAAAATATTGATGTCGTAGGCACTTTAAGGTTTCATCTACAGCAAATTGGGGTTAAGACCCCTCTGTGGGTCCTAAAACTCCAAATTTTGGGTCGTTAATTTAATTTCTGGAAATCCTCTAAGTTTAAAACTGACTGCTAAGAATGTTTCTGCTATAGTTCGATCTGGATAAAAACAATTGGTCTATTAGCAATATTTGAATACTTCAACCAAAAAATACTTTGATTCATGAGTTTCTGTCATCGTTTTTATTATTTTGTCATTTGTGTTTATTATGAAATTGGTCTTAAATTTAATTTCACTCGGCATTAAAAAGTCTTAAAGTTAACTTTCCTTAAACTGTAGGAACCCTGATTTATTCATGCAGGACTTTAGTTGTGTTATTTTATAGGCAGTTTAAATTTGGGGCTGTTGTGCTTGTCGACACTAAACAGAAACAGCTTTTCTAAATGTGAGTAACGACTGATGTATAGATGTGCTGCTTACATGTGACGCATCACATCAAACTAAGATTAAAATTAAGTCAAATTTGGTGAAATGACCTCAGCTCATATTCAGTTTCCTGTTATTTAAGCGAGCACTTTGTCTCCTGGATCATCCAGATTACATGAATAGTTCCAAAATAAGTCTTGATTTGCTTTCCTAATCAGGATATTGAGTTTTAGGTTATTTTAATGAGGAATTTTTGTCATTTTAAAACAAAAACCTCAAACAGCTTTACTAGCTCGCTGAGAAAATGACAAAAATGGAAGGCTTTTCTGCTTAGGTTCATGGTTTTTTGTTGCTACTGCTCAAAACAGAGCTTCAGAAGTTCTTTAAGATTATATTTCATATATCATATTTCTCCACACCACTTTGTGACTGAATCTTTGGTTCGATGTGACGGCTCGAATCACAGAGCTGACCAAGGAACTCCACATCATCAGGTGTTTTCATTCTGAAAAGCCACAAATTTAATTTATTTAAATAGACTTTATATTGACTGAAGTTAACACAAAACAAATATGCAACAAATATTAAAGGTTTATTTACCTTTACAAATACACTGCCTGACCAAAAGATGTCAYCTTCAAACGCCACCCAATATAATCAGTCCAATCACGTCTTTAACAAACTCCTCCCACAACAAGAAACTCCCACTTAATGACTGCATAGGAACCCCCCCCCCCAAGGTTAAGAACTCTCCCAACACATTATTAAATAAATTAATTTTTAATGTTTCCATCCTCAGATTCCTCTGTCTGGCTACGGTGGTACGAGCAACATCATCCTGGAGGACCAGAGGAAGCAGGGCGATGGCTACATTGCAACGCTGACCGACGTTGCTGTCGGTTGTGTCAGTAAAGTGTGTCTGTGTGTAAGAAACACYGGCTCCAGAGCAGCCTTCGTCAAAGCTGTGGCTTTCTCCGACCTGCCAGCCCGGTCAGTTCTGGAGCCCTCTGTCCTGAGCCTGGCCCCGTCTCAGTTTGTCCTGAAGGAAAGGACGCAAGAGGTGAGAGGGGAGCTACTGCTGGTGGGAATCTCCCATCGTTAAAAAAGGAAATCAAGCTTTAGTCAAGTGCTAGAAGAAGCTAGAGTAATGCCTTCCTTACTAATGTGTGTGCTTGCAGGTGGTCACGGTGCTGATGAAGTCCACCCAACGAGAGCAGAGTCTGTGTGAGTCAGCAGAGTCCCCTCTGGCCACAGTCTGCCTTTTCTGTGGAGATGAGGTCTCCAGGCAGCAATACAGGAGGTGAGATCTTAAAGTATTAGTTGATTGAATTTATATAGCACTTAAACGTTTAAAGTATAAATGCTACCAAGTCTGGGAATTGGTTGTGGGTTATTGTTCATTTAAATCTGGGTTGCCCTCAGGAAACTCTCCAGTTAATTTGTCTTATAACAAGAGGGAAATTGTTTTTGTGGTCAGATTTGAGCAAAGCAGTGCTTTAATAAATAAATGTTGTTCAACATGATTGTGTTTTTGCTCAGATTACTTCAGAACAAACCAGAAGCCRCGTGGAAAGCTCTGTCTGAGAACAGTTTGCTGAAAAACATCGACTTCAATGAAAAGTTCCTGGGGGAGGAACATGTTAAAGAGGGTGAGACGTTCACAAATGCTTTAACTTTGATCTGTAGACCACTTTGAGCAATCTGCAGCATGTTCACACAATTCCAGATCAAGTGGGAATTATAATACTCCATTACATTATAATATAATAAATCTATAAAGTAAAGAAATTCCTCTGTTGCCTCCTTCAGATTAGCATTTGTGTGTGATCTAACCTGATTTTAATCAATTATTTGTCTTTTCTGCAGCATATGACCTACCACAGAGGCCCAATGAGGCCCACATCTTCTACAGCAACATGAGTAAGATGATGGTCTCACTTCTGGGTCGTACAAAGAATCCAGAGTGTGACCAGAACAACCAGAGCAAACTGCCGCCGTCCGCCAGACAAAGCTCAGAGATCGAAAGGTAACATCACAAACCTTATATATATATAT